TTTTTATTTCCCTTTTATCTTTTTAGTCAATTTAAATATGTTAATTTTAGTCTCATTTAGTTAGTTCTATTAAATTCTTGGGAGCTCCGATCCTCTTTTTGCTGTGTGTGTGGCATCTCTTGTGGTAAATTCATTTTTTATGTGTTTTGTGAGTTTTGATTGGCTGCAAAGTTTTTTATTTTTCTCTTTGGGAATGCTTTGTGAAGGCTGAGATTTGAAAGTGTTCCTCCTGAGTCATTTGGATTTACTTCTGGAAATTTTCCCGTAAATGCCCTAACTGCCAGTGATCAGCTTTTATTTAAATTGCTTGGCTTGAAGACTCCTGCAGGCCCACGATGGTGCACATTTAGACTACACACATGGGCATGATAGGCTTGGTGTTTCTCTTTCTTGCAGACTTTTCGAAGAGACTCAGAAATCTTTGCTGTCTTCCTAGATGTATTGTTTCAGTTTTTCTATATACCTTTAAACTGAGAATATAGCATTTTGGAGATCCTAGGTATGCGAGGGTCTCAGTTTCACTTTCCAACTCTACCTGGTTTAAAACCTAAGTCCCTTCCCTTTAGGGACTGCTCTGATCCAGAGACTCCTTCCCTACCCTCTCATGGGCCCCCCGGTACCAGCTGTGTGCTTTCAGTTCTCCTTTCATTTCTGGTCTATGAGAGTAGCAGGAAGGCTTCTATGGTAACTCAGATGCCCATGTTCTCAGAACTCTCTGTGTTAGGCTGAACAATGACCTCTATACCCCTAAAAGGTGTCCACATCCTAATCCTTGGAACCTGTGAATATGTTACCTTACATCGCAAAGGGGTCTTTGAAGATGTGATTTAATTAAGAATCTTGAGATGGGGAGATTATTCTGGATTATATCGGTGAGCTTTATGTGATCACAAAGGATCTTATAAGAGGGAAGCAGGAGGGTCAGAGTTAGAAAAGATGTGCTGAGGTTGTAATCCGAGATTTGAAGATGGTACACTGTTGGCTTGAAGATGGAGGAAGGGGCTGTACCCCAAGGAACGTAGGTAGCCTTGAAGCTAGAAAAGGCAAGGACATGGATTCTCCCCTGGAGTTTCCAGAACAAATGCAGCCTGACTGATTTTAGCCTGGTAAGACCCATGTCAGACTTCTGACCTCCAGACAGTATTTACATTGGGGTCTTTTTTTCCCCACCTATTACCTTACGTGCCTCTTTACTATTTCTTTGCAGTCTTTGGTCTATTCTGTTTATCTGGATTTTTCCTGTACTCTGACCCACTTTGTACAAAGTCTGATATAGCAATTATTTGTCCCATTGTAATTTTTCATTCTCTCCTACACTGACTTCTAGAGCAAGGGTCAGCAATCTACAGCCCATTGGCTAAATCTGTCCACTGCCTATTTTTGTATAATTTGCTAGCTAAGAATGGTTTCACACTCTTACATGGTTGGAAAATAATCAGAGGAAGAACAGTATTTTGTGATACATGAATTCAGATTTCAGTATCTATAAATAAAGTGTTATTGGAGCATAGCCCTGCTCATTTGTTTACGTATTGTCTGTCGCTGCTTTTGTGTACAGTGGCAGAGTTGAGTAGTTGTGGCAGAGACCATGTGATCTGCAAGGCCAAATAGCAGATATCTGGTCCTTAACAGAGAACATTTGTGAACTCCTGTTCTAGTAGGGATGTCTTGCCTCTGGCTCTTAGCACATAGTTGGCACCAAACATTTGTTGATGAGTAATTAACTTTTAATTTAATATTTAAGAATATTTAACTTTAATTACTCCTAATATTTAAGAATTTCATTAATATAGTAAGGATTGGTATGATTCCCAAAAGGATTCTTTAAAACTCTGGGGTTAGAAGAATTTTATATTATCAGATTATACATGCTTCTGATCTTTTTGGCTCTAAGACTAAAAATGCAGAGCAGTAGTCCTGTCCATGAA